CTGTCTCTTGTTTTTATTCGCTTGTTGGCTTAATTGATTTACTCGATGCTGCATCGAGTTTAATAGTCGCTCATCATTTATGTGGAACTCAGTTGAACAACCAGGAAACCACAGCAGCCACAACCAGACCCAGGCACTTAATATTTGCCGACACTGTATAGCACTATTTGGCGACGATGAATACGATGCAAGGAATAAAACCATTCTTAGGCACGCCGCTAATTGAATACCCTAACAGATTGTAGTCCACTTGCTCATGAATAAAATTTGTTATTAACGTTAAATGCCGACAGATAGCGAATTTTTGAATTTGGTTTAAATTCCTTGATAAACATAAAAGATATTTATCTCAAAACTTTTTCATATTTACACATGAGAAGAAGTTTTAGTTTAGTTTTATCTATTAAAGCTGATCGGAAATACATATACTTCAATGCCATTCACTTTGGCAGGGTATTAAACCGGGTACACAGTTCCATAAACGCCCCTCTATCTAATCAAAGACGCCCAGTCCACGCGGACCGAACGCTGCCTCCATCCAAAGAGTTAAGTTGAGCTGAGAGCAGCGTATTTAAATTGGAACCAATTTTAATTATTTATTAGATCGAGTATTGAGAAATTCCAAGAATCTGGATTATCTAAAAATATAATTATTTTGAGTTATGCGTTACTTTAAATACCCTCTACTAAAAATTACTCACATTAATGGGCAGTTAATAAATTGACATATGTTGTATTTATTTCTAAGAACCTTGTACACATTTTCTCTTGATACATTGCAGAATTGAAAAACTTTTAATGGAATTGTCATTAAAATTTTGAAATTGACTGTTTTGAGTCATCATGTATGAAAGCTGTAAGGGAATGCCTCCAATAAATCAAATACTAACTCATTCATTCAAGTGAATCAAATGCAGTCCAGCAGCGTTCTCGAGGTCACAGCAAGTGACTTAACTGCGTATTTCAACTGACGGGTTTTGTAAGCCAAGTTTACACATACACATACACACACACACAGTAACACGAACATTGCAAATTAGTGTAATTGTTGTTGCTAAAATAAGAAAATAGCATTTAGTTGTACTTAAATTAGATCACAGTAGATTTATGTAGTAGCTGCTTCCATTTATAGACAATGTCAGAGACTCGTAACCCAGTTTCATTTAATCAACGTTATATGGACAGACACGATATATAAACTAGACAAGGGCATACTGAATGGAGTCAGTTCGACAATAACCTCTGCCGAGATCGGACTCAAAAGGGTAGGACTATAATATTCAAGAGTCATGATGCGCACAACAGCGGTGAGCACTAAATTTACTTAATTAACTGATTTCAATTCTGTATATCCTTGCAGAGTGTATTATAATTTGAGTAAATAATCGCTGAAAGCCATAAACCATACACTCCTCGCCACTTCAATCCAATCCAGTTCAAATTTTAGATGAAGGAAGATTTAATGTTAGGCCTTTAAATATAAGCCAAACATTAATTACTAAAAACATTTTAGAAAGCCCCAATTCTTTTCAGAGCAAAAAGTACTTTAAAAATGACTTAAAGTTGAGTGAAGTATTTAAAATTTCGGTGAAATTCTAAAATGTTTGCAAGAAGTTAGTGCAATCCTCCTAGGTTAAAGCATTTCCTCAACCCACTTAAATAAAGATAATATAATAGAAACTTACAGAAAATTGCATTATTTTCTGCTTTGTGGAGAGTGTAAGAGGTGTCCTATTCATGTGTCGAGGAGTGTATGTGTGGAGTGTATCAATTCTTGAGTCGATATTGACTTGTCCCCCTGTCCGTCTATCCACCTTAAGTCTGAAGTGGGTCGCTATAGCATATAGCTGCTGTAGGACCAATTGATCGGTTATTTAAATAATTAATTGGAGTTTGACCTCCGCTCTGCAAGGAATATGAAAGATACTTGCTATTGTTTGGATGCTTTTAAACAGATTTTCACCAGCAGCTGTTTCTGCTGATTGTGGCTCTCGCCCATGTGGGCGTGGCACATGTGGTTCCATTAACTCTTCCAGTGGCTGGCACTTATTTGTTGGCGCCAGCTACGCCAGTTTTGCTGGCTGCACCAGCGCCAGAGGACGATGGCAGCTATAAGCCGTCAATCAGCGATGGACTGTGGAAGCCACAACCAGGTGTAGAGGGTGAATACGTTGAATCCTCGACTGGCGATGCGATTGCGAGTGATGCGAATGACGGGCTCTTAATTGACAGCTCAGGCTCTGCGACGGGCAGTTCGGGTGGTGCTGAAGGTGCCGATGGTGGTGCGGGTGCTGGCGGTGCTGGTGGCGCTGGACAAGGTGGACAGCCTGGAGGTGTCTTGGGCGGTGCAGGTGGTGGAGGTGGTGCTGGCGGTGCAAGTGACGCTGGTGGTGGCGGTGGTGGTATACTCACGTCCGGAGAGAGCGGACAATCGGGACAGCCTGGCGGCCCAAGTCCAGCCGGGCCACAACCAGATGGTGAAGACGATGGGAGTAGAACTGATGGCCCCGACGGACCCGATGGCTCCAAGGGTGGCAAATGTGGTGCCGGTGGGCAGGGAGCACGCAATGGTGCTGGTGGCGGCAGCGGTGCCGATGGTGCTGCACCACAGCCCCCAGCGCCCACAGCTGTGCTGCTTCCGGCGCCTGTCTGGCCGCAACCGGAACACAATTTGATGTAAGTGGATAGAGCAGCAACAAAACTTAACTTGAACTTGAACTCTGAACCTACACTCTTTGTGCCTTGCAGCGACTTGGTCTAGACAAATACCCCAAAAAGATGAACTCCACGTTAAGGTAGCACGTTAAGTCATCTCTGTTCTTAGCAATAGTTCTAAGCCAATCAAAGCAAACGAATATTAAAATTCGAAGAAGCACCAGCAAACCTCAATATATGTCTAAATATGTTTTTGTGGTCTTAAACTCTTGTACTACATTTTGTCAAGGCTCGTTACCACGGCAAGCAATAAATCTTGGTAGCGTTTTACAAACTGCAACAGCCAGCAGCTGGACAAAGTTCTCTATCGTAACAACAGCAGCTGTCTGATATTTAACTCAACAATAGCATTATACATGGGAATTCAGACTTGCTCTTTTGCTCTCTCTCTCTCTCTCTCTCTCTATCTCTTTCACTCTCTCTCTCTCTATCTCTCTCTCACTCTCTCTCTCTCGACCCTTATTTCCTATCGAACAATTTAAACGTTTGCCAAATGGCCTTAAATAAGCTTGTCGTACTTGTGTGGTTTTAGCGGAGTTCCCAAAGCTTGATAAAATAAAGCTAAATCTAGCTAAAAAAAAAATTCAGTAAAGCGCTGTTTAATTTGAAATTTTCGACTTATTCTACAATCTCATTATAATTTATGTGCAATATGATTACTGGGCACTTTGGATCTATTTATAAAATGACCATGAATAGTCAAATGGTTGAGTAAACTTTTCATAATCTAATTGATTGTTCTGAGTTAATCAGACAAATTATAAAAAATCGGTAAAAATGGCATAATAGTTTTATGCAAAAACTTCTCCGTATAAGATATATATTTTTGATCAAAATCAACAGTTGATATAGGCATATCCGTCTGCAAGAGGTAAACACTTAAAATTTAAAAAATAAGTTCTCGCATAGCCCGCGTAGATACAATTGTTTTTTTAATTTATAATTTATTGTAATTAAATTTTGTCGATGATGGCGAAGAAAGAGTTACAGTTCGGCCTTTGACAGGAAACAACGAGAAAAGACAAGAAAGATTCTAAAACCGGCGATATAAAACACTAATTAGGTATTAACATACTTCAATATATGTATATAAAAACCCGAAGCTGATATTAATTTTACTTTCTTATTACTTACTTTCTTATAATTTTCTGTACGCAAAAAAAAATTGCAAGTGCATCTAAAAATAGGGATGACGACATAGGCATAATCAACGATTTCGTAAATATTTATATGAATTTATGTATGTTATACCCTGAACACATTAAAAATGGGTAAAAGGGTATAATGTTTTTTTAGAAATGTATGTAACAGGCAGAAGGAAACATCTCCGACCACATTAAGTATATATATTCTTGATCAGGATCAACAGCCGAATCGATATAGACATGTCCGTCTGTCCGTTCGTCCGTCTGTCCATCCGTCTGTATGAACACGCAGATGTCAGAGACTATAAAAGCTAGAGACTTCAAATGTGGAATATAGGTTCTCGTATACCAGGCGCAGATCAAATTTGCTTTATTTTATAGATAACTGCCTCCATCTTTCGATTATCGATACATTTAAATTTCCGATAGCAATAAATGCTACAATTTTAAAGGCAGAATGTTCTAATTAATACATAATATGCATATGCATATTAATGATCAACTGCCAAAATTTCATCAAGATCAAATAAGAAACAACCAACAAACGAGCATCAATATGTTTTTGTGTGTATGCTAAAAAGCCCCATTACCCCGTAACGATTGCGTGTGCATGCATATGTATGTATGTATGAATATTCACGTATTTGTCGGCAGAGCGCACTTGCAGACCTGCTCACATTTTGGTGCAAAACTTTTAAAGGGAATTTTCCAATATAACTACAATGTATTTAACAACTGGGTTAAGTGTAAATCGTAGTCGAGCTCACTCGACATAAGAAATGAGAGCACTGACAGTCCTGCTTACTTTTGAGTGTGCAAATCTTTTAAGGGGGAATTTGGCAATATAATTATAGTATATTTTATTGATAAGTTCAGGATATATTGTATATACAAAACAACACAATACAATGCATTGTCTGCTTAGTGGTCAATCTCACTCGACTACAGAATTTTTATTTTATTCGCTTTTTTATCTTGTCTTATGCGAGTGTAGGTCACCAACACTCAATAAAATTTAAAAGTAATTATTTTATAAGTACAGGGTATATCGTCATCCATCCAACTTGACAACATTTTTATTTGATTCCTCTTATCGCATTTGAGTGTTCGTCGTAAAATGAAAACGATTTGCTCAGTACAGTGTTGATTTTCGTTGTGTGTTGTCGAACAATGGCCAGTTCCGAAGATTTGGAATTAAGTCATGTACACGTTAATTACATAAATTATTTTAGATACAAAATAACAGAGTGCAAATTTCAGATAATTCAATATGGTTCTTACAAGGCTCACAAGGCGATATGGAGTAATAAAGAGATCGTAGCATTCCCATTAAGTGCAACTAAAGTTACGAAAGACGATATAGATTTACTTACGCCGATCAGACATACGAATATTATTGAAGTATATGGCATACAGTACGATTGTATTGCCGCTTTTGGACTAATGGAATATTCGGATTGTGGATTTCTACATAGTTACTTACATGGAAACGAGCAGAGAGATTATACAGTGAGTCATGTGCTCTCTTGGATGCACCAGGTCGCCAAGGTTTGTTGTATATGTATATCTATAAGCAATTAAGCAATTAAATAACTTTTCTTCTTTATGTAAATTGTAGGGTCTTCAATACCTCCATTCTATGGAACCTAGCCCGTTCTTCCGACATATTAATACCAAGAAATTTTTGTTATCCGATAACTTTCGCACCTTAAAAATCGGTGGCATTTTGAAAGGAAAGTTGGAATATGAATATATATGGCCATATGCATCACCGGAGGTTCTCTATGAATAACTAAGATATATATACACTTATGTAAAGCATCTCAATTGTGTTTTCATACAGGTGCAAGCAGGAAAAGACTGGACTGCTCACAAGAGCAACGTATACAGTTTTGGGATTGTTTTTTGGGAGTTGATGTCGCGAAAGATTCCTTTCCATCAATTTAAAGGTTACTGGCTTACAAAAATAGCGATTACAAATAATTGTCAAATGCATCACTTTCCCAGGAGAACTACCGATGCTTAGTCAAATACAAATACCCAACTCTGAGCCGATTAAAGAATTAATTGAAAAATGCTGGAACTCGCGTCCGGTTAAGAGACCAGCAATGGAAGAGATACTCTCCCAAATCACACATTTTCTGAAGTAAGCTAAATACGAAATTTGTTTTTCATGGATATTATATTTATTTGACGACTTACATATATGATTGCAGAAGTTTCGACCCTTCAATATTGGATCAAGTCTTCAGGGCTAATATAGGAACATTCTGGAACTTTGCAGCAATTAATATGGGCGACGTAATAATATACCATAACATATATATATATATACATATATATATATATATAAGAAATATATATATATATATACATATATCTTATTTCTACTCCGAATTTATTTATATTTATCGTTTTTATACTCCTTATAGGAAATTGGCGATGGCCGCTTTGGCGTTACGTACAAAGCGACTTGGAATGATACGACTATTGCTGTAAAAAAATTGAAACACATTTTGAGTGAAAACATTAAGCATCGAATCAAGGAGCTAATGCTTTTATCAAATGAACACATTGTATCTATACTTGGCATCGCAATGGATGGAGAATTTACAAATATTTTAATGGAATACTTGGATTATGGATCACTGCTCGACCTTACCTACAAAAAGACACTAATCATTACTTTGAATATGGCTTACCAGTGGATGTGTTCTGCTGCTGAGGTATTTTTCATAACTGAATATATGCATATATATATATATATATATATCCTCTAGTAACTTCAAAATTGTTTTTACAATTTTCATTTCAAGGCCATTAAATACCTTCTATGTGAGATAAAGCTAGACCCCCGTTTCCTTTGTAATTTGAAGTCTAAAAATATGATGTTCCAAGGTAACATCAACTGCTTGAAATTATGTAATTTTTGTTTTGCATTCGATGATAAAGATGTGTTGAAAAATAAGTTAGAGATGTCCTACATAGCACCGGAGGTCTGTATGACCGTCATGCAAATTAATGCAGTAAATATGTAGTATATTAATTCATTCGTAGGTAATCAAGGAAGGGAAATACACAGCAGAGAGCGTCGTATATAGCTTTGGAATTGTCTTCTGGGAGGTATTGGCACGCGAGAAGCCTTTCTGTAACTATAATCGTTTCAAAATGAGGAGTGAAATTCTAAGAGGTATGAAAGATGAAATTCCAACGAACAGATTGCATCATTTTAACTCTGGCAGGTGTACGTCCGTCTATTGAGGATATTCGTGGGAAGTGTCCAGATGTCATACAACGATTTATTACAAAATGTTGGCATGAGGAACCATCGAAACGACATAAAGTTAATGAAATATGTGACTCATTGGATGAATATAAAATTGATATCAGACATTTAAAGTAAGTAAAAATGAATTTTCAAAAAATATTAGTACGATTAATCACTAAATTGAATTTATATATTTTTCAGGCTGCCGGTTATAGGAGTCATCGATGACGCTAAAATAAAACAATTAAAAGTATTTTTCTGTAAAATTCGCTTTTATATTTTTCTAACCAAAATTTATTTTCTGCAGAATGTTGGAGAAAGTAAATTTGGCATTGTCTATAAAGCTGATTGGCGTGGTTTGGTGATAGGGTTAAAAAAATTTAAAGATGTTTTTACAGCCGATATCAATCCAGGTCGTAAAGAAGAGATCACATATCTCTCACGCATGGACCATGAGAATATTGTAACACTATATGGCATTGGCATTATTGGAGGAGTTGTACATTCAATCATGGAATATTCTAATTGTGGATCTCTCTACAACTACTTGCATGGTGAGGAACAGCGAAGTTGCACTGCTATAAATTCCCTTCACTGGATGTATCAGGCGGCAAAGGTATTTTAGTATTACATTTTTGTCCGAATAATTAACAGATTTTTAAAATTCTGCTTAAAGGGGATTCAATACCTCTTAGATGGGAGACCAATTACAACTATACATCGCAATTTAAATTCTCAAAATATGTTGCTGTTCGATAACTTCAGAGTCTTGAAAATCAGTGATTATTGCTTTCCGGCAGAGGGGGATTCTCTTTTAAACTATCAAGATAATGCCTATGTAGCACCAGAGGTTTGTGTTTCTATTCAATAAATGATTTTAAATTAACAAAATTAATTCATGAACAGGTCTTCGAGGAACGAAAATATACAAAAGAGAGCGACGTATATAGCTTTGGAATCGTGTTTTGGGAGGTGATGTCCCGCAAGAAGCCCTTCTCTCAATTCAAGAGATCATTTGAATTCACTAATGTAGAAGAGATCCAAAATGGTACGAAAGTTAACCGATTACCAATAAAGCGTAAAACAACTTTGAGTTTTTCAGGGAAACGTCCGCCTCTGAGTGATATAATTGAATCAGAATTTAATTACATAAAGGAAATAATTGAAAGGTGCTGGGATACAGACCCAAAAAACCGTCCTACAATTTCGGAACTAGTCGAACAGCTGCATGAACCTAAGTAAGTAAGAAATGAAAAATATGTTTTAATTCTAAATAATATTTAGTAAATAAAGGGGTATATATCTAAGTAAATTAAATCTATAATTATTTTGCAGGTGGTTTGAAAATGTCGAAGTGATTCCGGAAATAGACTTCGCGGATAACACACCTTTAAAGGTTAGATGCAATGAAAAATATTTTACTTTATAAACAATAATTTTAACCCACCAGGAATGGGTTGGAAAAGGTACCTTCGGAAATATCTACAAAGCTAATTGGCATAACAAAGAGATCGCAGTGCAATGCACAAGGTTTTCAGGGGACTTCAAAACCGACGATGTCGCAGAGAACATTGAAAAACTTTACCGCGCTCATCACGAGAATATTGTGGAGCTATATGGAATTGCAATTCATGAAAATAATGCATTTATACTAATGAATTATCCAGAGTGTATAACCCTTGACAACTACTTGCATGGAGAAGATAAATTTGTGTATACAGTAGGGCGTGGACTCAATTGGATGATCCAGTGTGCTAAGGTTTGGTCTATGGCTATTGTATTAATATACATGAATATTTATTTAACAATTATGATTTTAATTTACATTCCGATTTATAGGGTTTAGCTTACTTGCAGGCCATGAAACCAAAACCTATTTTTCATAATTGCTTAACGCCATCCAATCTATTCCTAACCGAAAATTACCAAATTTTGAAAATAAGCGATTTTGGCATTGCTCAACAACTGCCAATGGCGTTTGACAAAAATTTTTCAGATGTATATGTGACTCATTTAGGAAAATACAAAAATCTCTCAATATGCAATACGCATATTAGAGATGTTTTCAGCTTTGGCTGTATTCTATGGGAGGTTATGACACGTCAGATATTTGATATTATATTGGTTGAACCGTTAATCATTAGCTTAGATGGCACAGAGCGTATAAAAAATATAATTACATCTTGCTTGATGTCGTTTCGGAAAATGGTAGAAATGACATGGATCGTCTCTGAACTTACAAATATAATTATGTAAGCTTAATATGAATTTCAACAAGTAAAATTGTAAAATATACGAAGCAATTTGTTTTACTTTTTTGATTGCAGGATTTCTGAATCGAGAATACTTTCACAAGTCATAATATCAATGCAGAAAGAAGAGGTAATATGAATATACTTATGCGTATCTGCTCTCACTGTTAATTTTTTCTGATCCAGTGGAACAATTATAGACTAGACGTCATTCAGATTAATTCGTACGTTGAGAATGTGGATTTTGAGGATATTGCAATTTTTGAGGTATCAAGTAACAAAATAAATGAATTTGCAATTAATTTAATTTTAATCTTGCAGGATATTGGGAGTGGTGCCTTCGGCGTTGTTAAGAGGGCTCGATGGCGTAATAGAAATATTGCGTTAAAACAATGTATGAAAATAAATGATTTTACAGATACAAAAAAGTACCTTAATGCAATTAACAAAGAGACCAAGTCGCTTGTATCTGTTGACCACAAGCATATTATGAAGCTATATGGTACCTCCTCACATTCGGACTTTCTTTATTTGCTTTTGGAATATGCGGAGAATGGATCGCTCGATGACTACTTGTATGGAAAGAATCAAAATCGTTACAAAATGTCAAATGGAATTAATTTGATGAATCAGCTTGTTAATGTTTGTTTGTGTAATATATAATATGGCATGTCATTTACATCTTATTTTCATTTCTAGGGTTTGGCTTACTTGCATGAGAAAAAACCAAAGCCCATAATTCATCGCGATTTGAAAACTAACAATTTATTACTAACCAAAGACTACACACAACTGAAGATCGGAGATTTTGGCATAGCTAAAGAATTAGCGACAAAAAATACGACTAATAAGGGCACAGTTATTTATCAGGCACCCGAGGTTTGTGGTAATTAACAAATTTACACAAAGTCAAAATATATAGTATGTTGTTCCATTTACTCGCAGGTTGGCTCTTCACCAGCAATATATACGGAAAAATGCGACATTTACAGCTTTGGCATTATTCTATGGGAGGTGATCTCGCGCAGAAAACCTTTCGATCACCTTGACGATCCCAATCCAATCGCATGTTTTTATAAAACCGAAATGGGGGATCGACCGCCACTGAATATTGAACTTATAACGAAATGTGAGCCATTGCAAAACTTGATTGAGAGTTGTTGGAATCACGATCCAGAGAAGCGACCCTCTGCCAAATCAATTCAAATTTCCAAAACAATGAAAAACATTAAGAAGTTAATGCGCAAAATGTGAAGATTACATTCCCTAGCAGACCAGAGTTCGCCAGCAGATAAATAAAAAATTATGCTATTGATATAAAAGGTATAAAGAATACTGTACAAACTTCATTAACATGATCTAACTACCGCAGACTTCATTAAACAAAAACAAAATTTCTTATCAACAAGTCTACTATGTATTCTAATATTCAAACATTCAAACTTTTTTTAAATGGAGGAAAAACTATATATTCTAGTTTGCCTAGAAATTACAAGAAGAACAGATGGAGATCGACTTAAGAATGAATATATTATTGGTTCGAAGGCATCACTTTCAATAAAAATTATATAAAATGTATGTATAAATAGGAATGCATACATTTAAATGTATATACTTTATAATCGAAGGTCGTATTTTCCACGACGCACGAATGACAACTTTTCACCCTTTTAGCACTCGGGACTACTTATTGATGACCCTAACGTAGCGCTTCTACACTCGATTTTTTTGTTCTACTGTTATTCTTTGACTTATGATGCTGTTAGATTTCACATTGCAGTAAATTCAAATGAGACGATTTTCAATAATTTATTGTGAATTAAATGCGGTTTGCTTTTAATATGTTCTTCTGGCAGCATATTCGTTTTATTATTGATGCCCTCGCATATTGTGACAACTGTAACGACCCTTCATGTTCGCTGAAAATGTCATGCCCGGGGCTTTTGGCTGCCACATAGCACTCACTGTTGATCTGCAGTCAAGTCAGAGTTCATTTTTGTATGGTGTCAGCATCATGGACGTGGCACAAGGACTTGCAACAAGCATAATTAATCATCTCACTTCGCTCTAAAGTTGAATGGGGAAACACACTTCGCGGCCAAAAAGTGACTAAAAAACGAAGCTGGTTCTTATTGTAGAATAATATAAAGGGTTTTTTGTACAACAATAGGACATTAGAGTGAAGCAAAATATTGTGCAAACGTTAGACAAGCTTGTGGATTTTTAATGAAGCTAAATTGTTTTTGTTTCAAACAAAGGAAGCTACTTAATAACTTGCTAGAGCAAGAGAAGGAGGTAATGTAGGAGTCTTCTAATGCTTTTTGTCTTTTTCTTTAATTTTTTAAAGAATCTCTAATAACTGTACCTGATTTTAACGTACAATCGCTTCCTTTATTTGATTGTTCCAATGTATATGTTTTTTGAGAATAACGGGAAATTCCCATTATTTTTACAAATACAAAAATCCAATTTCCAGCAAATTACATTCTTTAATTGAAAACATTGACGTTGCATGAATTTACAATTGGAAAGATGCTCGAGTCTGATGCTGATGAAATATCCTAGTTTCCAGTTGCTTGAAATGCTGCTCACACACTTCTCGCGCAATCGTGTGTCGCTTGCACAGACACACACAAACACACAAACACACAAACACACACACACACACTCACGAACTCATCACTCAAACACCGCACTGCTCATTACGCATTCGCCCAGTGGTAATCATTTCTGTAAACCTTTTTCGATCTGCGCATCGTGCGGTCCAACAACGGACGGACAGACGCACACACACACACACACATACAAAGTGCGAGGCACGTAGAAGCCTTTTTGTATCGCACAACAAAAATCACATTCATGTAGTTGCTACACAACAACAAAAATCTGCGATTATTGCGGATAGAAATTCCAGCATCGCATATTTGTGTGAAACTAAACAAACTACAGCGAAAATAATTATTAATTATTATTAATTATAATTATGTGACTAAACATATTGAATACAATACTCTTAAAGTTTTTTGTGTGTTACTGTTATGTGCTTGTCCGCATCTAAGGTCGATGGCAACGTCAACTTGACTTGGCTTGCCCGTCAGCTAACAAATGGAGCTTCTGCAAAACTATTTATATACTGGTCACTCCTTATGTGCTGAGGTTGGGGTTGGAGTTGTGGTTGAGCTTGTTTCCAGAGAGCGGCCAGGACGTGTGAATAAATAAATAGCTGGCTGCTCTGGTCGAGTCGAGTCGAAGCCATTTATTGGCAGCATATTTAAACCTATTGTTTACGTCGGCGGCTCCTCGATTGGCGCCACTGTTTTGATTAATAACCGCACGGCCCACCAACAGCAGCATCTTGGAAAACAGTCAGTCAGGTCAGTGTTGGTAAATGCTGGGTCGCAAAATAATATTTGCAATGCCAGCAGAAAATGGAATCTCAGGAAAAATGCGCAAGCGTTGACAGTATAATTTCGCGTGTCAGTCGCGTTTCGCGATTCTGTCAACTGGGCTAATTGGATTGCAACTTGAGTGTTGTTGTTGTTGCTGTTTTGGGGAACGGGAGGAAGGTAACTGGCTAACTAGCCAACTAACTAACTAACTGATTGCTGCTCGCTGGCAAGCATCCCTCGAATGTGTATCGTTGCGTCTTTTTATCAGCTGATGCCACACGCACAAACCATTTAGTTTTTCGTCACAACAGAACCCTCTACCCATCATCATCCTTGTTGTTGTTGACCTGAATAATGTTGTGGGACGTGATAAAGGACATGGAGAAGAAAACGAGCATGATGATGATAATGGCCTCGTTGCCGTTATGCTCCTGCTCCTGTTCTTACTCCTACTGCAGATACTGTTTCTGCTGCTGTCTCTTGTTTTTATTCGCTTGTTGGCTTAATTGATTTACTCGATGCTGCATCGAGTTTAATAGTCGCTCATCATTTATGTGGAACCCAGTTGAGCAACCAGGAAACCACAGCAGCCACAACCAGACCCAGGCACTTAATATTTGCCGACACTGTACACCCCTATTAGATGCAAGCAATAAGAGCAATCTTAGGCACACCGAATTAAATACACTAGTAGATTGGAGTACACTTGTTCATGAATAAAATTTGGTTTAGATACCTTGACAAACATAAAAGTTTTTCATATTTACACATGTGAGAACAAAATGAACTGGCAGATCTTATAATTTTAGTAGATATGGAACCAACATAGATATGGCTACATCAACTTATCTATTAAAGCTGAAGAGCAATACAATCAATCCGTGACACACTTCACAACGCACATATAATTATTTCTTTGTTAGGGTATTAAACCGGTTAGACAGCTCCTCAAAACGCCTATACTTTGTATCCAACATGCAATCATCGCACAACCTTAGAATCAATGACGCCAACACCACTCGGACCGAACGCTGCCTCCATCCAGAGAGTTAAGTTTCTTGACCATGAATGGTGTCTTATCTTGACAAGTTGAGAGCAGCGCATTTAAATTGGAACCAATTTTAATTATTTATTAGATCGAGTATTGAGAAATTCCAAGAATCTGGATTATCTAAAATTATAATTATTTTGAGTTATGCGTTACTTTAAATACCCTCTACTAAAAATTACTCACATTAATGGGAAGTTAATAAATTGGCATAAGTTGTATTTATTTCTAAGAACCTTGTACACATTTTCTCTTGATACATTGCAGAAATGAAAAACTTTTAATGGAATTGTCATTAACATTTTGAAATTGACTGTTTTGAGTCATCATGTATGAAAGCTGTAAGGGAATGCCTCCAATAAATCAAATACTAACTCATTCATTCAAGTGAATCAAATGCAGTCCAGCAGCGTTCTCGAGGTCACAGCAAGTAACTTAGCTGCGTATTTCAACTGACGGGTTTTGTAAGCCAAGTTTACACATACACATACACACACACACAGTAACACGAACATTGCAAATTAGTGTAATTGTTGTTGCTAAAATAAGAAAATAGCATTTAGTTGTACTTAAATTAGATCACAGTAGATTTATGTAGTAGCTGCTTCCATTTATAGACAATGTCAGAGACTCGTAACCCAGTTTCATTTAATCAACGTTATATGGACAGACACGATATATAAACTAGACAAGGGCATACTGAATGGAGTCAGTTCGACAATAACCTCTGCCGAGATCGGACTCAAAAGGGTAGGACTATAATATTCAAGAGTCATGATGCGTACAACAGCGGTGAGCACTAAATTTACTTAATTAACTGATTTAAATTCTGTATATCCTTGCAGAGTGTATTATAATTTGAGTAAATAATCGCTGAAAGCCATAAACCATACACTCCTCGCCACTTTAATCCAATCCAGTTCAAATTTTAGATGAAGGAAGATTTAATGTTAGGCCTTTAAATATAAGCCAAACATTAATTACTAAATTACTAAAAACATTTTAGAAAGCCCCAATTCTTTTCAAAGCAAAAATTACTTTAAAAATGACTTAAAGTTGAGTGAAGTATTTAAAATTTAGGTGAAATTCTAAAATGTTTGCAAAAAGTCAGTGCAATCCTCCTAGGTTAAAGCATTTCCTCAACCCACTTAAATAAAGATAATATAATAGAAACTTACAGAAAATTGCATTATTTTCTGCTTTGTGGAGAGTGTAAGAGGTGTCCTATTCATGTGTCGAGGAGTGTATGTGTGGAGTGTATCAATTCTTGAGTCGATATTAACTTGTCCCCCTATCCGTCTATCCAACTTAAGTCTAAAGTGGGTCGCTATAGCTTATAGCTGCTGTAGGACCAATTGATCGGTTATTTCAATAATTAATTGGAGTTTGACCTCCGCTCTGCAAGGAATATGAAAGATACTTGCTATTGTTTGGATGATTTTAAACAGATTTTCACCAGCAGCTGTTTCTGCTGATTGTGGCTCTCGCCCATGTGGGCGTGGCACATGTGGTGCCATTAACTCTTCCAGTGGCTGGCACTTATTTGTTGGCGCCAGCTACGCCAGTTTTGCTGCTGGTGCAGCCTGCGCCCGAGGACGATGGCAGCTATAAGCCGTCAATCAGCGAGGATGATGGACTGTGGAAGCCACAACCAGGTCTAGAGGGTGAATACGTTGAATCCTCGACTGGCGATGCGATTGCGAGTGATGCGAATGACGGGCTCTTAATTGACAGCTCAGGCTCTGCGACGGGCAGTTCGGGTGGTGCTGAAGGTGCCGATGGTGGTGCGGGTGCTGGCGGTGCTGGTGGCGCTGGACAAGGTGGACAGCCTGGAGGTGTCTTGGGCGGTGCAGGTGGAGGAGGTGGTGCTGGCGGTGCAGGTGGCGCTGGTGGTGGCGGTGGTGGTGCTGGGGGTGGTGGCGGTGGCGGCGGTACACTCACGTCCGGAGAGAGCGGACAATCGGGACAGCCTGGCGGCCCAAGTCCAGTCGGGTCACAACCAGATGGTGAGGACGGTGCGAATGGAGCTGATGGCCCCGACGGACCCGATGGCTCCAAGGGTGGCAAAGGTGGTGCCGGTGGGCAGGGAGCACGTAATGGTGCTGGTGGCGGCGGCGGTGCCGGTGGTGCTGCACCACAGCCCCCAGCGCCCACAGCTGTGCTACTTCCGGTGCCTGTCTGGCCGCAACCGGAACACAATTTGATGTAAGTGGATAGAGCAGCAACAAAACTTAACTTGAACTTGAACTCTGAACCTACACTCTTTGTGCGTTACAGCGACTTGGTCTAGACAAATACCCCAAAAAGATGAACTCCACGTTAAGGTAGCACGTTAAGTCATCTCTGTTCTTAGCAATAGTTCTAAGCCAATCAAAGCAAACGAATATTAAAATTCGAAGAAGCACCAGCAAACCTCAATATATGTCTAAATATGTTTTTGTGGTCTTAAACTCTTGCACTACATTTTGTCAAGGCTCGTTACCACGGCAAGCAATAAATCTTGGTAGCGTTTTACAAACTGCAACAGCCAGCAGCTGGACAAAGTTCTCTATCGTAACAACAGCAGCTGTCTGATATTTAACTCAACAATAGCATTGTACATGTGAATTCAGACTTGCTCTTGTGCTCTCTCTCTCTCTCTCTCTCTCTCTCTGTCTCGCTGTCTCTCTCTCTCTCTCTCTCTCTCTCTCTCTTCCTCTCTCTCGCGCCCCTACTTCCTATCGAGCAATTTAAACTTTTGCCAAATGGCCTTGAATAAGCTTGTCGTACTTGTGTGTTTTTAGCAGAGTTGTCAACACTTGAGAGACAAAAAAGGTAGCTATAAGAAATTTGAAATATAAGAAAGCAAAGTCAAATTCAAAAAATGTTTAAAAAAAATTCGGTTTATTTTAAAATAATGGTCTTCTTCTGCTATGTCATTATTCGTATAGCTTTATGATGTGATTTTATATGATTTGGGGTCAATTTATAATTGTATTCATTGTCGGAAGGCCGAGTAAACTTTTCATAAACTATATGAATACAAAATAAAATATAATTATCGTCAATTTCGACTTGACTTGAAAAAGGCTTCATTGGCAACACTGTTGGCCAGCACTGAGCCAAGGTCCGAGCATTTCTTGTTGTCTTCGGTCGTTATGCATAATTTTATGGCATATTAATAAGCTTTTGTCAGTTGCTCTCAACTGTCAAATGGTGACATAAATTAGCCACATGCCTAAAAGTAGACAACAACAGATTTGCCAGACATTTACATGACTGTCAACACTAGTAATTAATAGAATAAGAGACACAGACTGAGGAGGAGGTATCTTAACAGCAAATTTACAGTTTTCCGGATTTTTTTTTATAATTCAGTTGATAGCTGTTCGCCGCACTTATGAGGCGTGAGACAATGGAAAAGTGTTGCAGCTCTCACGTACGTGGCAAACACCGAAATCAATTTGAGAGTTTTCCGCTGCACCAAAAGGAAAGCCATGGAAAATCGTTTGGTAGACAGCAGACAGCAATCCGCAATCGCATTTTCCTCTTGTTTACTTTGTTGCGCAAGTGTGCGAAATATCCGCAGCGCATTTGCTGCATCAGCAGCAGCAACAACAACAACAGTCGCATCATATTGTGTTGCACTGTTGCATTATGTCTGCTTATTGTTTCAGTTCGCTGTCGCATTTGCAGCTCTTGCATTTTGTGCGTATTTGTTGTTCAGTGTTGAGTATAATTGGGTTTTCGGCAACAAAATTGAAAAGCTAGCAAAAGAGCTACAAACATATTAGAACAACGAATTTTCACTTATGTCATAAATAAGAAGCGTTAAGCGTCACTTAATCTTTTTCAAGTGCACAAAAGTACACTTTACGAAAAAAAACATGCACCTTCTTTCTAAACAAGTGGTTAGTATTCATATTTACGTTTAAAAAACATTTAATAAATCATAATTATTATTAATAAAATACAACCTCAACGTTTGAATTATTTCTCTAATGCGTTGCGTTGATCATCAACATTTCATTCAAATGCATATTTTGAAAGAAAAAAACAAAAAAGACGCCAGACTCAGATCAAGCCAGCTTTTTAATATCCATAAGTGCTCCTCTGCTCGATGTTTTTCTGTGGAATTCCATGTTCTGATCAAACGTGAATAACAAATATGTGTTCTTTCACTCCCGTCCCCAAAAAACGGGAAAAACGACATATATCCCGCAACTTAAGAGTTCAAGTTACTAAACTTGGAAGGTAGATTACTAGGAAACTCCTCCAACATTTATTTTCGGCCCCGCCGACATCCATTCTTTTTTACTACTGAACTTCAATCTTTTCTCAAAAACATATTCAGCTGCCATTTCGTCCAAAGTTTGTGTCAATAGGGGAAGCTCATCAGAAACGATTTCAGCATCTCTATAGCTTAGTTCATTACTGCAATTAGGTATAACCATATTATCTTTGGTGATGTCCACTATGACTTCACGCCTATGCATATAAAGCGCTCTGGAGCCCTTTGATATCATATTTTGTATATGGGCGCCAAAGTTTAATTTATTGTCGAACTCCGAGGTATATTAGTTCTCTACTCGGTTCTAATGGCTCATTATTAGTAACTTATATCTTCCCGTGAAGGGGACGATGAACCGCACGGTGGCTATTGCTCCACCTATCGTACTCGCTTTCCTGGGCGCCTTTGTTTTCTTCAGAGCTTCATCCGGAATAAAGCCCATTGACCCGCGAGCCGCAATGGTGCCGCCCGGTAATCCAATCCGCCTGATTGTCCCCTGGCATTTTGCAATTTTTTTCCATTAATTTATCTACAATATAATTATAAGTTATCCACCAAATTTATTAAATATTTATTTATTTTTTATTGAGAGTGCACATCAATTTTGTTCATAAAATTCCTTCGATTCCTTTTTATTAACAAGCACAGCAAATTAAAATCTATGCAAAAAAAAAAAAAAAAAAAATCAAACCCACAAACTGAAGTCGAGTTTAATTTACTGAGCATGCATATTGCATTTCAACACAAAAGCGCTTTAGCAAATATTCAAATTGGTTCAATTAGGACATAAATTAACGCCTTAACCATAAATTAAATTGATGCAAAATATAAAAGCCGCTTTAATGCCAAAAATATATGCAAAATGTGCCAAGTAACCGCCTACGAACCAAAAACAAAAAAATAAGTAATAATAAAATGGAATATCAATTTGCCAAAGAATCAAGAGTCGAAAAATGGCTTAGTAATTGCGTTATTTTATTCAAATTTGTTGGCGAGCAATTGTTTGCTTAGCGGTTGTTGGTGTTGTGACTGACGTTGGTCGCTGGGCTGGAACTGCAAGTGGAAGTGGAACTGACCCTCCAATTAACCGCCGTTCTTTCTGGCTAGCGGCAAGAGCAAACTGGTTGCCAAATTGTTGTGCATGCAAATGACAGCCACAAACGAAATTCTTCGATTCGTTTGAAATATGAACGGAAATAAAAGCAAACAAGCCAACAACTAAGAGATGCCCTGTACCAAAGAGATTTAAACAATACAAACACCAACTAGTTTTTCATAGTGTGGAAAAATGATTACTTGCCAGTCAATAAGAAATTACGATTCGGTTAAAAAAATTCTGTGGTTTCGAAGAATAGCAACAGCAAGAACAAATTTTTTTCAGAAAGTCAATTTTGTATATTTATAAATTACAACTGAGAAAAATAGACAGAAATGGCTTTATCATTTATCACTTATAGCTGATTAATCTTGAGCAAACTTTTCTCTTCCAATGTTGTACAGGGTATAGGATACAGGGTATACAAATAAAGTATGCAAAATCGTGGCAAGAAGCAAGAAGCGAGTCTGTTTGCCACTTGTGCAAATCAACGCCAAAAATTGCAATAATAAAGCTAGCAAAAAAAATAAAAAATAAATGATTTGCACCAACAACAAAGTCAACAAAAATGTAGCACATTCACTTTTGACGTGGGCTGAGTGCCACGCCCCACAGCTTGTGGCAAGCTGAACGAACTGCACGTTACGGTCAAGCTACTGTTGCAACTAACTCTTTTGCAGCAACTCACACACACACATACACACACACAGACACAGACATTCTGAGCTGGCCATTTAAGCCCGATGTTGTTTGGCAATTTAAATAATTTTAACTGCACATTCTTTTCACCGGTAGCATTATTAATTATATTAAATAAGATTTGCTAAAATAAATGCACCGTTGTTATGGTACACCTGCTCCAAAATCTGTCTTTCATCTCAAGGTCATTTGGCTTGGCCCAAACACTGATTTGCTCTCCCATGCCCATAAATTCAATTGCCCAACTGCATGTCCAATAAAGTAGACTAGAGCATCCAATAGAATATCCGGGTTGTAATTTATAACGTTATATCCTTATGCTGAAATTTGTTCTGAAATTTTTGAATTGAATACAGAGCTTCTGCAATCGCGTAAACATATTGCTAAAAGTTCTAGTAATTTATTGAAGAAGACTTTTTCTTTTATAAAGTATTTTCCACATTGACTTGAATTAAGAAAAGGACGCCTTTTTTTCGCTGAGTGCAAGTGTTAGGCAGTTGTCTAGTTTGTTGGTTGGGTGGTGTTTTTCGGCTGCGTGACCCTTCTGTTATTTATGCGACTCAAAATCGAACCGTTTTAGCCACTTGTTCTATGACCTTTGCGTGTGCGGCTTCAATTGTTCATTTTTAATTAGTTGGTTTGCCACCGCTCGATAGGGCCTTTGAGGTTATTGATTTGTGCAAAGGTTGCATTCAAATTTATGGCCACCTAACATGAGGTCTTGCAAATGAATTCGTCAATCCCAAAAAAAATATATATATGAATATATATACATTCCATACATATTCCATTTTAGCCAATTGAAATGCAGGCACACACGGTCGTAACATATTTGTAAAAGCATTAATCGTAAATAGTTGAGGTGAAAATTGTTACTAATACCAAAATTGATTTTCCGAATTGATTGGCAGTCTATACGATTACCAGCCATCTGCCGTTCGATAGAAAACAATTTGCTACACAACTCTAAAAAGCCTTCATTGGCAACGTGGCATGCATATTTCAATCTCTGCAATGCAAATACGTGTATCCAAACACACACACAAGCACATTAACAAATATGTACACCCCTGACAAAATAAATAGAGAATGTTACACAACCATTTTACAAACAAAAATCCTGCCGTTCAAATTCGTATTTAAAACAAAATCGTCAACTAAGTTGAGCGACTTATAATTATTTTAGGCACGAGTAAAGATTTTCACTAAAACTCAGGAATTTTAAGTATTAGCTATGCTTTTGCAAGAATATTTGAAATGCATTTGTATTTAAAACTGCACAAACAACAAATTCCCCTGATAGTCCAACATCGTTTTTCTCAATGTACAGCTGTGATAAAGCGAGGACGAAGTTGAACAAACTGTCGCCAAAAAGCAAAAAAAATAAATAAATTTTATGCCATATGTGGATGAACTCCGGCAGAGAAGTCATGACTGTGACTTGGAAATTCATATGATAAATTTTGTCCTTTTTTAACACTCTCTTTCACCGGGCAGTCGAACAGAGAGACATTATTTTTTCTCAATTTCTTGGAAGGCCCAAACTTTTCTTGGAAATCACTTGTGTAGTCCGGCAAAAAAAGGTAAGAAATTTACAAAATAGCTTTCAAAATGTCTGACAAGTTCAATCAACTCCCTTAAAAAAGTCATTCCCCTCATTGAAAATTGAACCTAAAGGCTTAGCCAAAATGAACCGATTCTTATAGGCAATGGCTTTTTGGATATGATTTTATCCATGTATAAATTTTAACAAGAAAATATGATTTTGTGGTGAAAATTTATGAGAGTCATGTTACGTGTCTGCACAGTAATACTACTGTATACTCTATATACTAATCTGAAACATATTTATACATGTATACATATCTTAGAGTTGAAACAAATAAATAAATAAAGTTTCTTGCCCAAAAGCTGTAATTAACATACATTAAGTGTATATTAACTTAACTCTTTAAATTGTAGTAAAGAAATGAATACACAATTGCATTTTTTTTTTTGTGATCAAATACATTTTTGCAGTTTATTTGTCTGTTTGCAGTTTCATATAATAATATACATAGATACGTATCGGGTGCACATGGGTGCAAGATACATAGAAAATTACAACAATTATTTACAACATTCTCGTTCAGCGTTGCTCTAAAGTCAAAGAAGAATGAAATAAAGTTGAGGAGCATAGCTAGTGAGAAGAGAGACAGTGGCAGTAAGAGAGTGAAGAAAGGCAGTTAAGACATGAAGAGAGACAGGGAGACATGTAGACAAATAGTTTGAGCGATTTCTACTTGAAAAGTCAGAGATGGGAAAAATAATTGAAGCGGGCAAATGAGACGGCAGCTCAAATCTCCCGTGTGTAGTCGTTTTCCGTTAAAGTGTTTCTGTGTAACAGAGATGGTTGCGTGAAGAAGAGAGCGAGAGGGAGAGATGGATAGAGAGAGAGAGAGAGAGAGAGAGAGAGAGAGAGAGAGAGTGACGCTAGCTTGCTTCGGTTGTCTCGGGCAGATAGTCTACGGTTGCTCGTCGTTTATCGTTGTCACAATGGCAATAACTCCTCCTTAATAGTGATTGTAGTGGGCATGGTATTGGCCATCATCCTCATGGGCAGAGCCACCGTAGTAGCCACCGTGACCGGCGGCACCACCATGACTGGCAGCTGCCACCGCATTCAGATGAGCGGCACGAGCATGTTGCACCTCTGCTGGCTCAACGGGAACACCATTGTGGATGACGGGAATGTGAATGGGACCCTTATGCGCATATCCTGTGGCATAGCTATCGTGACCGCCCTCCCAGCGACCATCGTAGTGACCATCATCCCAGGAGCTGTGAGAGCTGCCGCCATGAGCGGATGCCTGCGAGAGGGCGGCATAGTGAGCGGCCTTGGCGTGCTGCACCTCGGGCGTATCAACCGGAACACCATTGTGGATCACGGGCACATGATAGCCGCCGTGGGCAATCGGAGCAATGGCATGTCCACCGGAACGAGCTGCGGCATGGGCAGCAAAATGCGCGGCCTTAGCGTGCTGCACCTCGGGTGTCTCAATGGGAGCGCCATGAGCATGAGCCGCCTGACCGAGTGCCTTGGCATGGGCAGCATAATGCTCGGCCTTGGCATGTTGCACCTCGGGCGTATCAACGGGTACGCCACCGTGTGTCAGGGCGACATGAGCGGGAGCCGCACCATAACTCCAACCACCGCCATAAATCGAACGCTTGTACAGATGATGACCAGCATGGGCGCCATGGGCAGCGGCGGCATGTGCGGCCGCATGGGCAGCCTTGGCATGTTGCACCTCGGGTGTATCGACGGGGACGCCACCGTGGGTCAGCACCGGAATGTGAATGCCATGAGCTTGATGAGCATATGGCACATAGGCGGCATGAGCATGAGCAGCGGCATAAACGGGAGCAACGGCATGGACATTATGCACTGGCGCCTGAGGCAGATTGGTGCCGACCGCATTGAAGCCATGATGGGGATCCGCTGTATAGGCCACAGACTGCAAATGGCCATGTCCATCCACATATGAATAGGAGCCGCGCGTGGTGCCATCGTGAGCACGCGTCTCGTGCTTCTGTGAATTGGGATCGGAATAGCCATACGAATAGGTGTGGCTATGAGGATCCAAGTGCTGATATTGTGTGGAGACAGCACCGTGCCAAGAGGCAGACACTGTCGAGATGAACAGCGCAGCGGCAATCAACTGCAGACAGAAAGAGACAGGGAGAGAGAGAAAGAGAGAGATAGAGAAGGGGAGTTAGAAAAATTTAGATTAAGAGTTATGCCGTAACCCTGTCTACAGGTCGTCTAAAACTCACTTAAAGTACGTCTCAAAAATAAAACACTTATAAATTCGGACTATTAAAATCTTACTTAAATTTAAAAATTGCCATATCAAGAATAGAATTGTAAAATATTTCATTTTGTGTTTTCTGTCGGCATAATAATTGCAATTTCCAGTCGATAAATTAAGTTGGCAAGTTGGTCGGTCAGTTGGTCAGTTTACGAGTTGCCAATTTCTTGCGTTTCTCTTTCACTTTCGCTTTCGGCTCGAACCATCCACACACGCCTTCTCACACACACATGTATGTATGAATCTGTATATCTTTGTGCGCCATCAAGTGAAACGTTTGATTTCGATTGGAGATACATGTTACTATTAGCCAAGTCGTAGATATTACCGCATTTGCAAGAGGGGCCATTATTGTTATGTGGAGCAGCCACATAAGCAGTCTTTAACTATCCGACATGCAACATGTCAACGGCTTATCAACGGCAAGCTGTTTGCTGTTGCTGTTGGCAGCAGCTGTTTCTGATTTGCTGGGTGGCGTTTTTCTCTGTGTGCCACTTGACATGCACCCAAATTATTTGACTTGGCCGGCAAAGTGATGGTTGAAAAATAAGCACAGCGGGGTTCATCGTTTTATAATTAAAGCTTAAATTACTCAAATGTAAGCAAATAAACAAGGATAACGGACGCTCATATTATCAAAATGCCAACTGCAAAACCTCCACTTCATTATTAAATTGATTTAAATGTACTTACAAATTAGCTAATAAGGTATAGTCAAGAACTTATGGAAAGTATTCAAACTATTTATAATGCTTGCTTTGAGTTGGGTCTTATATTATATGAAATTATTGGTGAATCTAAAAAAAATAACTTTACTTTTAACTGAGCACTGCAATTTATTGATAAAGTGAACTTATATAATCTAACTATTTAAAAATTAAATTTTAAAATTTATCTTTGTAGCCTGCTAGAGATAAACATATAAATATCATTTTTTTATTTATATTTTTTTTATTCTGCATTCGCTGTGTTTTTCTCCAACTTCTAATAAATTTTCCAAAGATATCTAACCTTTTGTAAACTCAGTACAACACAAAACATATAAAATATATTTAGATTCACTACTTTAATTTTAATCTTATTTCAAAACAAGAAAAACATTTTTTATCCCTTCTAAGCTTTTTCGAATTATAAAATCAATTAAATATTGATTCGATTAATTTTGAATATAAGTACAGATTTTTAGTAAGAAAAGAATTCTAAGTTTTAGTCCTACATCAATCGCTTTCAGAATATGCAGTATTGCAAAGATTCCTTTTCTATGCTTAATTGTTTTTGTCATATCCAATGCAGCTATTGTATCCTTTTCACAAAATAAACCATGTTAAAAAATGAATACTATTTTTCTTTAATTAGGCACAGCTTGCTATTTTTACTTACAAATGGCTTCATTTTTGTTTCACAAAAAGTTAATCACAAAAGTTGAGTTGGTTTCGTTTCGAACCGTACGTTCAAAGGATTGGTTTGGGGTTTGGTTTAACTGGGAGTAACAGAAAACAAACTACACACACGACGACGACGACGACTGGTCGCTGGACGCTGGTTGAACCTCCTAGAATCTCGGACTAGGACTGTTAACGAACTGTGCTGACTGTTGGCTTTTGGCTCTAATATATACCTCAAGAGACACACAAAGTTGGCTGAGACGCCGGCGACTGCTCCAAAGACACAAAAGCAAAAGCAATAGCAATAACCAGAGCAACAAATGCATACACATACCACACACACACACACACATATACACCCAACAATAACAGTAACAGTACAATGAGAGCACTAGCAGAACAATGTGGCACAAGAGTAATCGAATTACAACGTTAATCGCGGCTCGAAGCTGGTTTTAGCCAAAAGCCAAAGCCGAAGCCGAAGTCCAAGTCGAGGCCGAAACGAGATACGACGAGTATGTTGCCAAAGCCATGTTGCCAGTCATTTAGCTAGATATTGCTAACGATTTAGCGGGTTTATAGCTGGAAATGGCTATCAAATACAATATACACTGAGAGAAAAGATCCAGTCTTGACTCAATATCTCAAATTGTGTATTTGATCAAAGTACGATTTTACCAGTCTGCAATTTCAGGTAGCACACAGAGAAAAAATACATTATATATAGGCTCATAAAATTGACAAATTTGTTTCAAGAATAGGTAAGCTTAACTTTTACTTAAATCAATAATGCATTCTGCATTTTATTTATATAATTTTCAGTGCATTACTTGTTTTACTCTAAGATTTCTTTGCTCAACTTCATTAAATCATTCTTATGGTTTACTTAAACTGCAGAAATGTACGTAATAAATAAAACTTATTTTTGATACCTCTTGTTTCTCTCAGTGTATTAATGCTTGCGTGTACATCTATTACTGTTGCATTTTGCTTTTGTCACTGCAAATGCTGCCCTGACCTTGCTTTCAATCTTACTCAAACGTCGGAAAGGAATTTTAATTGCCAACTGACTGCTATTTTTTATTAGTTTTGGGCTGTTTATTAATGTGCGTGTGTGTGTGTGTGATTTGGTGTGGGCCAGCAATTGAACTTCCGTGCATTGAACAATTAGCACTCATTATTTGCTATGAATGTTAAACACTTCGATCTTATCGATTCGTGCCTTTCCAAAATAAAATGCCCACCACACCACGCCCAACAAAAGCCGCTCACATAATAAACAGTTAACAAGACAAGGGGGCAGGGGATGAGGGGTTGGAGTCAGTAAATTAAAAAATTCTTATGAATTTTGTGTGACTAGTACAAAGCTTAGGAGCCGTCAGTTTGCCACAGCTTGCAACATGCCACGGGCCACACAAACAACAACAACAGCACAAATCGAAAAGCGAGCAGAAAAAAAATATAAAATAGTAAACCAATTTCTGGGCGTTTTGCCTCTTTAATCATTGAACTGCATCGAAAGCGAGCAGAAACGAAAAGTTTGCAAATTAAAAATAAAAGCGCAGCACACAACACAAAAGACATAAAATTGAGTATTGCTGCTGCTGTTGTTGCCACATGTTGCAGCATTTCTTTAGAGCAGTACATTCAATCTTGATGTTGCATTTGCCACACTTTGCAATAGTTGTAGATGTTGTTGTTGCTGCTGTTTCTGATCGCTTTTATTGTTTTACCTGACACACAAGCAACAACAACAAACAACACAAGAAACACATTTAATAACGAATTCGATCATTTGCATTCGATAGGCGCCACATCTACAAGTGTGTGTGTGTGTGTGTGTGTGTGTGTATGTGTGTGTGTTGCATGTGCCACATAGCGGCAACTTAATTTGCTCAACTCTCTGCCCGATACGCCAGCGCCCAATTTCATTTAAATAAACCAAAATGCAACTTGCTCTATTGAACTCCCTCAACAATTGTTTTTATATACACTAAAAAAAAAAAACAATACAATTTAACTGATATTAAAATCGTTATAATTCCTTCCGTAAGCCAAAAGTAATTTTTGGTTTTCTTGATATAGTTTACGAGATACATTTTTGAACGCTTAAAAATAAATTAAAGCTATGTTAGAACTGTAGTAGTTAGCTCTCGAAGCCAAAAGTAAAAATAATTTTTTAGTTAAGTAAATGCATTAATTAATAGCTGAAATATTTTAGAAAAGAGGGTTGCAATATTCTAAACATTCTTTTTATTTTTTGAGTGCATGCATATGTCTATGTATATTTTTTGGGGGCGTGGCGGGTGTGTTTTGGCATTTTTGTTGCATGCGCAACATTATAAATTATATTCCCGTTGTCACCTTCGCTCTCAGTTTTTTCTTATTTTTCTACACACTATTTTTTGTGTGGTTTTTTTCTGAGCCATTTGCCGACATGTGGGCTGAACTGCTCAAGTGCAATCTACAGATTTGTGTGTGTGCCCACCTATCCAGCAATTTCTGAGCTATAATTATTATTTCAGATGGGTGCGCTACAAACTTACCTCTACGGTATACGTATGCATAAATATATAGAACAATGCAAAAAGGTGTTAATTAAATAATAATATACATATATCAGGAAATTGTATTTGAACTCTAACTGATATATTGTATTTGCCAAAGTATAGTAATTAAAGTCTTTATGCATACACTAATGCTGAATGGTAGAGGAGAACGGTCTTATGATTTCTGTGAAATATATTATTGAGATTTTAGTCATATATCAGGCAATAATATTAATATGCTCTTACAGTAATTTTATCCGTTATATGTGGAATAAAGTGTCCCAATTCGGAAAATTATTTCAATTCTTTAAATCACACATTTTATTGCTGTTCGTACAATCGTAACAAAACAATCAAGAATAATACATTTTGATTTTAATGTGAACACATTACGTATACTCTCCATTAACATGAACACTATTTTTATACCCTGAACCCATTAAAAATGGGTTAAGCTATAATGAAGCTGTGTATGTAACAGGCAGATTCCATATCGTGTATATATTATTGATCAGCATCACCAGTCAAGTCGTCTGAATGCAATAGTCGATCTCAGAGACTATAAGAGCTAGACAATTTTTAATACAAGTTCCCGTATATCATACACAGATCAACTGTATCTCATTTTATCGACAACTACCCCTACTTCGCGAATATTGAAATATATATTATAATAATTAAAGAGACGATTTTAAGTGTATATATATATATAAAGATATTTTATTGAACAACTGTAAATAATTTATAAAAATCGCATAGGAGATACCCTGATAGCTGGTATATGCAAATAAGTAAATAAAATATACAAATAAGGGTATCTGCCAGTCAAGTTCTACTAACTAGCGCATTCTTGTTGAAGTTTGTACGCCTTAATTTTATGACAATTAGAATCCACTCCATGCCATAATTGACCTACAATTAGATAAAAATAAATAAATTCCCATGCGGAAATTCTTAAGGAACAGCTGCAAGCATAAGAGGTACTGCAGAAGGTGTTTCATAGGGCACACTGGCCGTCATATGCTGAACAATGCACATTGCACAGTGGGTGTGGACAGTCTGCGGCCATTTTATGCATATTATTAATGCGGAATACAAAAGACAAAATCTACTCGTAAACTGCATTGCCGAATAGCCTGCCGATTGTCAACATATTTATTACACTTAATTATTCAAGCTTAAATGCTGGCTGCACTCAGCGAAAAACGTTCTTCTAAATTCAAGAACAATTAGAACTTAAATTTACTATATTAATTAATCTTGAATAAAAGTGAATCATTACAGTTTTAACTAGATTTAGACACTCTTTGTACTTGGCTTAAGTACAACATCAACTAATTGTTTTTATGAGTATAGCCTGCGTATATTTTGACTTTTATACTAGCCAGCCAGTCAAGCAGTGGTTGTTATTGCCCCATTTGCAGTTGTTTAGCTTGCAATTGGCAGTTCGATAATGCATATTCATAAGCAAATCATGATTAATTAATTGCGCTTGCTGTAAGACAACATAATTAACGAGAATTCTACAAGAAAGTCGCGGCGGGTGTTGGCCATTTAACCAGTTGGCCAGCTGAGCTGAGCTGGTCAACCTGCCGGATCATTAGGCAAATTAACGCGTCCAACACTTGGTCAATTAATATTTAAATTTCAGACAGCCGAGACAATAAATTGCAACAACAGCTAGCAACCACGTGGCCAATTCACAACCTGGAAAAAGCACGGCAAGGCCTCTTTAGAGCCACATCACGCACCACCTCGCTGTAGCTTGGCATTGAAATTCTTGCAATCGACACTCTCAAATTGTGTTTCCACATTATTTGGGGGCACTCAACTCTAACTGCACCACTTTGTTTACTGGTGCAGTGAAGCACAACCATCGCCACTCTCTGGCTGACTTTTGCCACAATGGAATGGTACAATTGGTGGAGTGATTTCTCGCCCCCGAGTATGGGTGTATCAATTATTGCATTACCCACTCATGTGTCTAGTCTCTATTTGTTCTTACACAAGCCGCTGGTTGCTTCAAATATTTACTGTTAATTAACTAACACAAATTTCTTAGAAATCATTGCATATTGTGTATACAGGTTGTTTCAGTTGGAGATACATAATATTAGCTCAGCTTAGGTCGGACAAATTGACCACTACTGTGGTCTAAGCGAATGCGACACGCGATTCAAATATGAATGGGGTTTTTTTTTACATATTGAGTATATATTTCAGCAGTGAGCTTTATGAAAACATTTATAAAAAACATTTTTCGCAGACGAATATGTATTATAGTATTGCTAAGGAGTATGTTCTTATGATATTCTTAATTTATGTATTTGAATAGCTATCGGCAGCACCCTGTTATATTTACCTCAAGAATTAATTCAATGTGCTTGCTAAGCGTGCAAAGCTAAAATAAATCATTAAAATTTATGAATTTAATTGCCTTCAATTATTGCCACAGATAAAAAGCGTTACAAACTGTGATCGCAGATCGCAGATCACAGATCGCAACTTGAACTGCAACCTGTAGAAACAAGCATTTATAAGTTGTAGCCACACTTGCTGTTGGCCACTTTTCTGACCATTTGGCTTTGGATTTCGAGTTGATTTTACGAATCTGAGCTACTCGCTATCCACTGCTGAATGGCTGATAA